AAAGTGTCTGCTCAAAGCCACATCAGCAGAGGTCATCAGACATTTAAGATATTCCTTAATGTGGGATTAGTGTTAGTTAACACCATTCTTTGATCACCAGATGTCTAACAACCTTTACTTATATTCTAAACTCAATCATCCACCCTCAAAAAGAGAGGTCCGAAGTAGAGAGAGCAATTTCCTTTTTCCCCTTCCAGATAAAATTCCAAGAGGTGACTATGTGATGGATACCTGGCCACAGATCCTCCCCCTCCTTCCCACATGCACAAAACATCATCTTTATTTTAAGTATAGTACTCAGGTGCTCTAGTGAAGGACTAAGATGGTATTTCCTCAGCCCCTGGAAATAGTGGCAGATACTCATTCAGTGGAAAGCAATGCACAGAATCCAGCCATGAGGAGTAATGACCACTGAAGCACTGAGATGTAGATGTCACTGGTACAGGTGTCCTCGCTGCTTGTGCAGTAGCCACTGGAGGGCCTTTGATCTAAGCGCTGCTGCCTGGGGCACGGATTATGCAGAAACTTTGATCTCCCTGTTGGAAGCTAAAGTGTTGAAGCAAGAAAACCCAAAGGGCCTTTGATGTGACTGTTGCTGCATAAGGCAATGGTTGTGCAGAGAGCACTGAATCACCCTCTGAGCTTCTGGTTGAAGCAGCTAGTTCTTTAAGATGCTGACAGCGGCCTTGATTTGTTGGCAAGAAGACACACATATACACTCTCTTCCAGGAAAGAGGTGAGTGTTGAAGGCTCCTCTAGTCTTTGGTGATCCTGTCCACCATGAGAGACTTGAGGCAGAGGTGAACGACTTACAAGGAAGTGGAATAAAAAAATCACCAAGGTTCTTGGTTTCGACCATCCCTCACAGAAGGAAAATAAGACAACGCTATATTTTAAAAAGTTCCTCCTACACGCCACTTAACACCAAAACAACGAAAAACCACAGACAGCTGTGAAGCTGTTCTCTATAAACCAGAATACTAGTGATGCTGCATCAGTGGAATTGAGCCAACTGCTGTATTACCCCAAGTTATGGAAATGTCAGCCTGGTTACAGATAAAACAGAGTTCCCATCCAAAACCTGTAGTATGTTAGACAGGACAAAGGAGATAATTCCTTCAAATAGGCCTTCCTCTAAACTTAGACTGTGAAAATTGACTCTTAATGTGCAGATTTTCAGTTTATCTGCCATATCTGTGCAAGTCCTATAGAATCTGCAGACAGGGCCTCCTGTACACTGGTTCTAGACACAAACAGCTAGAGGTTCCTTTGCTGGAAGCTGCCTCATGCCCCATTCCTAAAGAGGAACCCAAACAATGGAAAGAAAAGTCTATGGAAAGAAAAATAGGAATCTAAGCAGGATGTAAAATACCAGAAGTAGTAAAACTAGGATGCATAATACATGGGATCTCAGTTTTATGGAGCTTCTCAAGCAAGCAACCTACACTCATGCAATCCAAGAGACTTATGAATTCTAACAGTACAGCACCTATGGCCTGTGGGGGTAGGAGAAAGTGGACATGCTCATGTATTTTAATACTATTCTGTAGATTGTACTGACAAACTGGCATTTCAGCTCTTACCTTTTCATGAAGGTGACCATATACATGAGGCGAGGTGTGCAGATCATTGGCTGGTCTGTAAGGATAGCTCTCATAGCCTGCTTCACACAGTATTCTGGCTTCAAGGGTGGAAGGAAAGGCTCAATTTCTTTTCTGAAATATTTGATTAAGATATATTAGTAAGATACACAAAGGACCACAGACCTCAGAGAAGAATTCATTAACTTATTTTCTTTGGAATGCCTCAGCAGGGACAAAGACTTCAAATATTTTTTTTTTAATTTTTTTTTTTTTTATATTCACTGTTCAGTTACAAAGACTATAGCTCAAAACTTGTGTTGCCTAAGTACAAAAGGACAGAAGATACTGACTTTCTGAAAGTCCCTTTTTTGAGTCAGGATTACAGATCACACTAACATCTATTAAAGCAGAGATAATACTTAGTGTTTTTACAGAAGCAGTTTAGCTACCTTCAAATATTTTCATGACACCACAAACACAGGGCTGATGAAGAATTTTACTCACCTGATCCTACACCCTCTGAACATTCCTGTATCTACAAGATAAGGACAGACTAAAGTTGTTTTGATTCCATCCTTCTCAGCAGCCTTCAATTCATGGCTCAAAGACTCATGGAAACCTACAGCTCCAAATTTGCTTGCACAATAATCCTGTGTTGGCAATGATCAAGGGGAAAAAAAAAAAAAGGCAACTTAAAAGGACAGATACGAATCATGTTCAAAGCCAAGCATATCTGAGGTGATTCTGCACAGATACTCAAAGCAACAACAAAAGACACCCACTGAATAGAGCATCACATCAACCCATTTATCACTTTACTTTTGAGGCAATTAGCATGGAATCATGAAAGCAGGAAATCTGGATGTAGGAGGATATTACCTTGGATTCAGGTCTTTGAATCAGGCAGGCTCACATGGCAAGTTACTCCAATTACCAGTTTGCTTAATATTAAATGTTACAACAAAGGACTGAGATATCTAATACTACCTTGGGTCAGATTTGAAAAAACTTGGAGACTTGGCGGGGCGTATGTGTAAAAATCTTAAATGCTTTATTTTCAAGGTTGGTTTCAACAGAAGATATAATGGAGATTTGAGTGTATTATTTAATCTTCAGAAGAGGATATAGCTTGTATATCTCACAAAAATACTAAGTTCAGCAACAGTAAAAAATAATTGCATAGACAGCAGTAGCATTCAAGTTTTCCAATGGATGTGCCTAACTCTTCTGGTAGTCACACCCTCAGCCCAGGAAATTCTTTGTACTTTTCTCAAGACAGTAAATACTCTAAAAAGCCTTAAGTTACACCAGCCTCATTCATATCTGTTAGGCAACACTGCAGTTTAAGGTCCTGGACTGAGCCTTACCTATACGCAAAGAAGCCTATGCTTATGGGGTAATATGACAATTACTCTGTTAGACACATTAATTCATTTTTACTAACTGAATGCTTTTTGTTCTCACTTGTATTTGTGCTAATGACCCAAAAAGCAAGATAATAGGCTCTAATTCTAACCTAGTTTTATGTACCAAACAAGTCTTACAAACTGGTATTCTCTAACAGCTGCTAGCAACTAGACAACCTAATGCTTATAACTGGGAGCCTAGTAAAGCAGGTGAGACATATTCTGGAAGGAAGGCTGGCAGCTATTCCCTCACAGAAACAGAATGCATTACTTTTGAAAATCCATGCCTTTGGCTTCAAGCTTAGCATTGAAGATCTTTGACTGGAGTAGGTAAGCAGGCACCTTTCAGGTTCCTGAATTTATCAGGTAACTCAGAGATCATTTAGCATTCTGAAATCCTTAGCCATCCTAGGCTTTCCCTCTAAGTGGCAAATCCACCTGCGAAGTAAGTGAATACGGTGGCTGCCCAAGTCCTGCGGATCCCACTCACAGGGAGCCACATGTTGATATGGTACTCAGCACCATGGCTTCCAAGTACCTTTGAAGATTTGACTACATTTTCTCTACCTGATAACACAAAAAAGCTTATCCTAAGCAAAAGTGCCAGATTTATTGTTAATTATAGTCTAACAAACCTCCACTCCAGCAGTACTGAACAATCCCAAGGAACTTGCAACTGTCACGATGTGTCCGTGATTCATTTCCAGCATCTTGGGAAGGAATGCTTTAGTGGTCTACAAAGAAAAAAAAAAACAACCAAACAACCCACAATAAAAAACCACACCATGAACATACTACATTAGCGGTAAGTGTTCAAAACATCTATCTCAGTTTATTTTCAAGAATTTAGAGATCACTGTACAGGTTTTGAACTTCTGAGTTTGTCAAAAATGCCAACAGAAAATCTACAGCTTGTTTGTGAATTCAGACAGCAAGGCAGCAAGGATTATATCTCCAGAAATCCTAAGGTTAAAGGATCAATTGAGCTCAGACATGTTTATTTTTCTGCAAGAGACTAGTTATCAGAAGGAGATAATTTAACCCTAAAATGGAAATCACATTTTTTTTTAAGACAGAAAAAGGAATGCAAAGTGTTTAATTATCCCATCCAGCACATCTGAGTTAAGACCAGTGCTGATTATCAGTTCTAATTATTGACAGCGTGTTTTGGAAGTTAGATATGGTTAGTTATATCCAACTGACTCATCTTGAGCATTTTATGTTAAAAGAAATACTGGAGGCAGATTTTTTTGCTGATGTTACTTTTTACATATTAAATACGTAAACATCTACTACTCAAAATTACTTTCCATCTTTATTAGCAACCATAAGCATTGCTCTAACTAAAAATACAAGATATACATTTCTATTATCAATTCCCTATTTTAAGAGTTTTGAAATAAAACAAAACAAAAGCAAGTCTCAAGATGAACTTTCTTTTTAACCTCCAATTTTTACACTTTGATTATAACAAAGTTTGTTTGTTTAGAAACCCAAGTCAGAGTTAACACTTTAAAAAACTTCTAAGTTTGAAACAATAAATTGAAGGCATTTGCTAGAAGATCTCCTCTGCTAGAATACCTACCTTTGTCATATCTGTTTTCTGAGGCTGACTCAACACTTTCCTTTTTTAAATAAGTAGTAATCAGAGCACCATATACGCTAAAAAAAAAATCAATGAAGTAGTAAAATGGTATGTGTAGTTATGATTTACTTCAGCTTCTAGGTTGTCAGTGCACTATATGAGATCACTTTCAAATTGCCAAAGAACTTCAGACATTGCTTTTTAATCACAAACACACCTAGTTGATATATAAATCTATTCAAGACAGAGCTATTATTCTATTCCAATTCACTCAGTACCATGAATGCTTAATGCTCCCAGAAACCTGCTCTTCCCATGTAATTTGGATACAAACCCAGAAGATGCAAATGCCCCTTAAGTATTCGCTACTTGCTTAATTGTTAGTCTGAGTAGTGTCAGCTGCATTCTTAAAAAAACATGCAAGTTACAGCTGAATCCATCTAATTCCATTCTTATGCTGTCTGCATTTTCCAATCACAGACGTCAGGACAGTTTTGCTCTAATGATTTTCACATGTTCTTGTACAACATTTTTGCCTGCAGGTGTTAAATGACTAATCCAGACCTCCTAACACCACACAAAAGAGTGTTTTCACTGGACAGCTGGCAGATGATAGAAGATTAACAGACCTCCTGACTCCTTGCCTTTTCTACTGTTGATTCATACAACTCCTAGATTCTGTCATAACTGCATAACAAAGCTAATTATAAAAAATAATCTGAGAGCAAGCTGCCTTGCATTTGTTTCTTTTCTCGTGGCAGGGATCTCTAAACCTCTTATACAGAGCCTCGGACAAGAATTTAGTTCTCTGTTAAACTAATCTGTGCCAGGCACACAAAGTTTCAGCCTCTCTTCCCATGTTGCATGGCAACAAAGACCAGTCAATGCTGGGCAGTGCCGCCTGAAAAGGGAAGAGGCTTCGCTTGGACGGCACTTAAGTTTTACAGTGCGTTATTTATCTGCAGCCTGGCTTACACACCCCAACACCGACAGTGTGTACACTATCCCTGACACTCCACGCCATCCCTGTAAGGGATCCATGCGCCCAACTCAGTCCTGCTAACAATTTACTCCCCTCCAGAGCATTAGTCAGCTCCATCAACAGTTTCCACTTACGTCTCAGTTATCTGTCCGCATCACATCGGAATGACTGATTGCCACCTCACATTGCCAGAAAGCTTGATAATGCAGACTGAAGCTCTGGCTGAAATCCACAGCAACTACAGAAATGAAGGGGCACTCACCTTGGAGTTTGTCTTGGGGCAGGGAAAGACGTAGCTATACATTTTTTTGCCTACCACTTTTAAGGCATGAATCGATGTTTTCTTCCAAGAGATAAACAAAAGGCAAGTGCATCAAGGTTAGTTGGACTGGCTTTTATATTGGTTTTACTATAACCACTGCTTTTTTTGAGTATTGATGAACTATAACTTGGTGTCCATCAGCATTCCTATTTATCTATGGCCGAAGAGGAGAATTTTCACAAGCATGTATTATAGACACAGAAAATAACCAGAGCAACTGCAGAGCAGTAAATTTCAGAAAGCCCAGTCTTAGCCATAGAATCATAGAATCATTTAGCCGTGCTGCACTCCTTCAAAGCATAAAGATTACAAAGACTGAGTTTTCAGAGCTTGTGGCTAAAGTAACCCTTTTTCACTCAAGAGGAAATTGGCACATTACGAATAAACCCTGTTAGGGAAACTTCTGGGTGACATCTTCAGCAATTCAAGTGCAGACCAAACAACTCCCAGCAGCAGAACTACAGTCACTTCATGTAAATCATCTCTTAAAAGGCCATTTATGGCCACATAGGAAAAGACACAGCTACTTTGCTCTGAAGACAATTAGCAATTCATGTAAGTCTTTGTGCGAGAGCTCAGTTTTCTGAAACAGCCCGTTCATAGCAGGCCCCTGTACTTTGTCATGGGATGTTATTCCACAAACCCATTTAAACCCTGAAGCTGAGGCAGTCCATAAAGATAGCACAACTATCACACGTACAAAACTTAGGAGTCAGCTATCAACATCTCAGCTAAACGGATGACAGAGGAAGTCATCTCAGTTGCTGCCATCCTCCAGCCATCTGCTACAGCTGGGAGTCAGTACTTGAAAACAAGCACTGTCAGAGGCAGACACACCCTATGGGGGGACGCATTTCCAGTCTCAGAGTAAAGGCTTGCCCACTGCTCCTCCCAGCCTCCTCTTGCTGGGAAAAACAATCCCAAAGTGAAGTTATTCTCTTTCGTGGTATAAGCAATCCCCAAATAAATCAGTGTTCTTAGTGAGCTTCTGGCAACAGCCCACTTCCTCGATCAAAGCAGCTTCCTCCATACTCTGGGCCCCAGTTTTTCTTCTTGTTACACAAACCAGATCAACCTAGTTTCTTGTTTCTAGTTTCTTTCAGCTTCAGCTACATCTGTCCACCAGACCTGAAGTCTTCTGTGTGCTTGTTGTGCTGCTGAGAAACTAGTTAAGAGTTTGACTGGTTCAGGAGCAAGATGCTTCCTGGGTGGCCTTCCCATCTGGAGTTTGTCTGAACAGGTAGCACAGCCCACATTAGTCTTCTGAGGTGATGCATGGACATGCTAATCCTCCATAAAGGAAAAAAGTATTAGAAGATACGAAGCAAGACATGTGGTATTGTCCATGACATTAGAGGTCATGAACCAGGCCCCTAAAATAATTCAAATCAACTCAAGTGATTTAATCAAACTATCTGCCTTCTGGTTTGATCTTTTAGGTTTCAGTTTTACCTCTCACAGCTGCAGAGGAAGACATTTAGCCAAAACATTTAAGTACTTAAAGTCAGAGCTGGGTCTTTTATTAATGACAAACATAACATACTTTTCAACACTGAAGAGAAACCAGTAAGTAGAATACAGTGGATGAAAGGAATTGTGTTGTGATGCATCAGGGTGAGGAATCAGGGAAGTTAGGCAGTGTTCAACATCAAGAAATTTAAGTTAAGCATCCTCTTCACTCAGAATTAGCTTTCTTCCCTTTTTTTTTTTTTAGAAAAAAATTAAAAACCCCCAATGCATAGTGCAAACATGCGTTTTCTAACTTGCAATACAGTTTAGATAGAGCAAGTAGGTAGGATAGATAGAACATATGAATCTGTTCTGCACAGAGAGTAAAGATTAAACTAGCTTGAAAAACTAAGTTTTTTGGAGCCTAGAGATCAATTCCTAATCTTCTAAGCGTCTTCCTCTATCCTTCTGAATATACCAGTAAGAACAAACTATTCCCACTAGCTGTAATCAAACATCTATTTCATGTGCACACAGCTTTAATGACTTATTTCTCACAAGTGTGAAACTGAACAAGCATTTACATGTCACTTCATAGCTTTCGTAATCTGTTCTCAACATTTTGGTTTACGGCAAATTAACTTCTAACAGTCTAGCACTTCTTCCCTCCCCTTCCCCAAATTCTTTAGTTCCATTCTTAATGAAACAAAACTCAAAAGATTGTGCAACACAAAGAACAGCACAGCTGCAATGTCAAGACAAATTAGTCTAAATACAGCAAATGAGAATATGAAGAAATACTGTGTTTGGGAAAGTGATTTTTAATTAAATTTTGGATTAATTATTCTTAAAGTAGAAAGCAAGCATCCACAGAAAACAATGTTAGCTGTATGCAGCTCAAGACAATGGATACTGAATAGAGAAAGCACACCAAAGTGGAAAAGTACACGTTACTTCATATTTAGAGAGTTGTCTTTATATCAAAGAAAGAAATAAAGCAGGTACCAACATGTAAGGTCCTTTAAGTCTCTGTTTTTTCAATACAGTAATTTTTTTTCCATACTTTCTGCCTTCCATCAATGTTCAGCAGCCCTTTTAAACTGTTGTGATGGCATAAACAAACTGCTTTACTGTAAGGCAAAAAATCCTTTATGCCAAAGGAATAGCCCATTTTCCATACAGCCCTTCCAGGTAAGGGGGATGGAGCATGGTTATTTTTCTAGGGCTAATCAAAACAGGTAAGCTTTTATGTCACTATAGTTATCCACAACAGTGGTGTACTGGTACAACAGGTAATACATTTCCTCCCAAGTCACAACTATTCCTGACCACCAGGACGGCTGCGTAACAGTGCAAACAAGGGCAACGTTTGGATAAATGTATTGTTCCTTCTTCC